TCTGCCTGGGCTGTCATAACAAAATACCACAGACAGGATGGTTTAAATAACAGAAATTAATTTTGTCACTGGGGAAGTGACTCAGTGGTAGAGCATTTGTGAGGCATGTGTGAAGCCTGGGTTCAATCCCAGCTCAAAAAAAAAAAAAAAAAATTCTTTTTCTCCCAGTTCTGAGGGCTAGAAGTAGAGATCAGAGTGCCAACATTGTTGGTTCCTGAGTGAGATGGTTCTTCTAGGCTTGCACACAGCTGCTCCCATGATCTTTCCCCAGTGCTTGTGAATAGAGAGGGTGCAAGCTTTCTGGGCGTTAATCCTATCAGATCAGGGGCCCTGTCTTTATGACCTCACCTAACCACAATGACTTTTTTAGAGGCCCCATCTCTAACTGGAGGTTAGACTTTCAATATAAAAATTTTGAGGGGTTACAAATATTTCGTCTCTAAAGAGACTATTATACTCTCTTACTCTTACTCTTACTCTACCCCTCTTACTCTCTTGCTGTCACTCTCTCTCTTACTCTCCCCTCTCTCTCTCCCCTCTCCTCTCTCTCTCCCCCCCCCTCTCTCTTTCTTCCCCCTCTCCTCTCTCTCTCTCCCCCTCTTTCTTCTCTCTCTCTCTCTCTCTCTCAACCCCCTTCTCTTCTGCGACTGACCACTACGGTCCTGCTAATAAAATCTCGGACAGGTTAAAAAAAAAAGAGAGACTATTATAAAGGGAATTGTTTTCTTTTTTTAAAAAAATATTTATTTTTTAGTTGTAGCTGGACACAATACCTTTGTTTTATTCATTTATTTTTATGTGGTGCTGAGAATCAAACCCAGGGCATCGAACACGCTAGACAAGCGCTCTACTGCTGAGCCACAACCCCAACCTGGGAATTATTTTCTTAATTTCCTTTCCAGATTATTCTTCCAGGTTTTCAAAACAAATGCCCATCCTGGAAGAGCCATTGTTACCAGGGTCCTGGCATTCATTGTCTTTCCCAACTCAGGGTCTATCTGTCTTGCCTATTCTTTGTATTGTCTGCAACTTGGTCCCTCCCCCACCCTGCCCCCATCCTGGTTTACTGACAACTACTAAATATTTTTGCATCTGTTTTATCTATCTATTGTATCTAAGTATTTATTAAGTATCTATAATATCTAACATTTTGGAGTCAAACAATATGGGAGGAAATAAAGAAATATGACGTGGTTTCTGCTCTCTAGGATTTTCAATCTAGTTGAAGGGACAAGACACCCACAAAAATCATTAGAAAATCATTTGGGAGCATATGTAGTCAAATTCTCACCTATCCAACATGCACCAAGATTGGAAACTCTCTAAAGCTAGGTCTTTTCTGTTATGTGCTGTGTCCTTGTCCCCTCAAATGGAATAGAAGAAACAAATTGGGAGTTTAATAAGTAAATGTTGAATGAATTCAGCACTCACTCCCCGGGTTTCACCAGGTCAGGGCTAGTTCTCTCATTCATCCTAACAGTGGATCTCCATTCTACGGAGAAGCTTGGGCACAATAGTTTTTTTATTTTGTTTATTTTTATGTGGTGCTGAGGATCGAACCCAGGGCCTCCAATATGCTAGGCAAGAACTCTTCCGGTGAGCCACAAGCCCAGACCTGAAACTTGGGCTTTTTAACTGGCTCAGGTTACCACCTAATGGCAGGCACAGAACAAATCTCTCATCGAGTATCCCAGTGTCTTTCTAAAATAACCTCTTGCATAAGTTGATCCTTGGTAAGTTCCACCAGTAAACTGAGAAGAGAAATATGAAGGAAGAAGGAAGAAGACATGGCCTGGACAAAGGGACAAACGTCCTAGAAATCTCCACACTGACAGCCAGTAAGTGGTCACAGAGACCATGGATCCCAGGGAAGAAGCTAGTACCCAAGAAAATGAGTCTTTATCCAGTCTTTTTAAATGTGACTTTTTTTTTCCCTGATTCTCAGATCGTGATAGAAAATTTGAAAAACAAACCACAGTATAAAGAAGAAAATAAATTTATCTACTGATTTACAAACTGCTCTTTGCCACTGCTGAGATCACCACTGTTCACATTTTTATAAAAATATTAAATGTCATTTTACTTAAATGTTGAAGGAAAAGAAACCAAAATTTGAGAGAAAGATTTCTTCAAAAAGGCCTATTATTTTCTAAAAAGAGTCCTCTAAAATTAAAAAAAAAATTAAGAGACATTTTAAGAGGTTGGGTTTGCTGTAAAGGTTCTCAAATTTAGGTGAATTGGTATTTTGACAATGTCTAGAGACATTTTTGGTTGGTTGTTGCAACTTGGAAGCTACTACTATAAAGAGGCCAGGGATGCTGCAAAACAGCCTACCGGGTACAGGAGCTTCCCAGAACAGACTTATCCAGCCCCAAAGGTGAACAGCGGCCCGAGGGAGGAACATGGATATTGCATGGTCACTGTGGTTTCAAAATTGCAGGTGTCTTTAAAGGGTTTAAGTTTGTTTCCATTCAGTAGGACACAGTCAATTTTCTCAGGGACCAGTGGAGTAAGTGGTTAAGAGTGTGGCCTCCAGCCAGGTGGTCCGAATTTGAACCCCGACTTCCACTTACTGGTAAGTGAGCTTGAGCAACTTCTTTGAGCCTCAGTTTGCTTATCTGCAGATTGCGGTAATATTAAACCCAACTCATGTAACTGTGGTGAGGATTAATGCGCTAATTTAAGTAAGGTTCTTGGAACAGTGTCTGGTTTATGGTCAGCTTCATAGAAATAGGTGCAATTATTATTATTAATGTCTTAAACCAAACTAGAACACAAATTAAGCCTACTTTTAGCATAAGTCTCCTAAGGAATTTAATAGAAAAAAATAGATATGTATGTAAAACATTTTTAAGTGGAAATTTTATTTTTTAATGTATTCATTAGAGCTTTATAGTTATACATAGTGATTGGGTTCATTCCAATTAACTCATAATACATGGAATTCAATTGCAGTTCATGTTCCCCTCCTTTTTCTGTCCTTTTTCCCTCCTGTCCTCCTTCCCCTCCCAATTCTCCTTCTTCCATTATACTAGACTTCCTTTTGCTCATCTATTTTTTTATTTGTCCTAATTAGTTATACATGACAGTAGAATGCACATCATACATAAATGGAGAATAACTTCTCATTCTTCTGGTTGTACATGATGTAGAGTTACACATATATGCACATATATGCACGTAGCATAATGTCTGATTCATTCTATTCTCCTTCCTCACCCCAAATCCCCTTCCCTCCCTTCACTCCCCTCTGCCTAATCCCAAGTACCTCTATTCTTCCCTAAGTCCCCCATTCTTATTGTGTATTAGCATCCACATATCAGAGAAAACATTCAGCCTTTGGTTCTTTGGGATTGGCTTAGCATGATATTCTCCAGTTCCATCCATTTACTGACAAATGCCATAATTTCATTCTTCTTTAAGGCTAAGTAATATTCTTAAATGGAAATATTAAGACAAATAAAATAAAACTCGTTTATTGGAAAATAAATATGGCTAGGGTCTACTTATAGATCTAAGAAGTTTATATGTGAGTTCAGAGGTTCAACAAGGTTTTCCTGCTTTCTGAAATTATCTGATCAATGCTGGGTGTATTGCTGTTTCAGAAAACATTGTTTTGTTTTCTTTTAGGTTAAAATAAATTTGACAGGTAATATATTCTCATAGGTAATATATTCACACTCAAAACAATATAACATGATGTACACTGAGAATATTCTTTGCACTCCACCCCCATCCTCCTGTAGGTAGTCCTTCAGTTGTCACGGCTGTCTTCTTGGGAATGGGCAGAATCAGCCTTTATTAGTTCAGGATGGATTCCGAGCAAGTGGGTGATATATCAAGAGTAATTATGGTCCTAGGACCATGCAACATAAACAATATTGGCCAATAGTGAAAGCCAGTAAAGACTGTCATTTTTCTCACTATAATTTGGGTGACGTTTCCTTCTATAATCTGAATGATAGATCTCTACAACTTCAGTGTCTCTTTATAGAAGCCCTTAGGCCTTATTTCTGTACTGCAACAGACTCTGATTCTCTTAAAAACAAACAAACCCACAAAAAAAAAAAAAAAAAAAAACAACCAACCAAACAAAAAGCCAAATCAAAACAAAAAAAGTCTTCAATAACGATTATGAAAGAGGAAGTACTTGGCAAACCCCTGTGTTTCTTTTTCTCTCAGTCTGTGGCTATGACTTAGTAAATTTTTGTTTCAGATTTGTGGATTCTGTTTGTTTCACCACCACTCCAAATACCAAAATGTGCTTCTTTCTGTCTCATTCTCAGCAACTATAAGTACATTGTGGCAATGTCAGTTTCATAGATGTGATCAGTATTAGTTACCAAGTGCTTTAGAAATTCTGGATAGTTTTTTGGTTTTGTTTCGTGCTTGGGATCAAACCCAGGGCTTTGTGTACTCTGGGCAAGTGCTCTACCACTGAGCTACATCCCCAGTCCTTAAGACCTGAAGGTAAAATATTTGGGAGTTATGTAATACAAACAATAAATGTTTTTGTTTAAAAAATACACCCTACATAGTTTACTTCATGCCTTTCTCATCCAGTTTCTTGGCATTTCTCATCTTGTAACGTTCCTTTTTTTCTTGTCGATTGCACAAGACATTTTTATTTGTCACAGAGCTACAAGCTGCAGTAGATTTAAATGCTAAGAAGGAACCATAGGCTTTCTACCTCACTCACTAAAGGGGTCAGTTTTCCTAAAATGCTGTGTCCCAAATATCTAAACTTCAACATCCCCCTTTCCCATATATTTTCATTACTTCAAGGACCTTATTCCTCCAGTTCCACCAGATACACCTTGCTCTCAATAGCCTTGTTCCTTGTGTGGTCATTTTCTCCAGAATTATGCTCCCAGAACCACCAGCCCTCCCTCTGCCTGCCTCTTACACACTGCACTCACTAGTGCGCCACGCCCCATCTCCTGCCCCAGAAACCTTGCCTGGTCGGACCTCGGTTATTCAGTCTTGGTTGACTCCCACAGGTGATGAACAAGGCCAAGTATGGTCCGCTGTGGTTATCCAGCCTTGGGTCTCAGACCTTGGTGAACCTGGCCAGCGCGCCACTCATAGAGCAAGTGATGCGGCAGGAGGGCAAGTACCCCGTAAGGGACCACATGGAGCTGTGGAAGGAGCACCGGGACCATCAGGGCCTGACGTATGGGCCCTTCACCACGTGAGCTGGGGCCTGAAGGGACTGGAACAGGGCCTCACAGGACCAGGTCAAAAGAGAGTGGACACAGGGCAGCCAATGGGGTGAAGGGCAGAGCGGCATCTCTGCATCCTCTGAACCTGATACTCAGTATGGAGCAGTTGCTGGGATGGGCTGAAGCCCAGAGCCATTCATTGGCTTTTCCTTTAATACATTGTGTGACTTTAGACAAGTGAATCTGAGAATGATATTGACTCAGATGCCAATCAAAGTAGATAAATGGGGCTCATTGGTGATGAGCCATTCCCGGTGCCACAGGTTGTAACTGGGAATATTACAGCCTTCTTTTTGCTATAGTCTGTTAACAGAATTTCAAAAACAGTGGATGGTTTTCCCCATTTATAATCAACTTGACAACCATGTTTTAGTTGCTTCTCAAGGGATGAAAGTTGATCCCGGTGTAGATGATCACACTGCTACAATGGTATATTTGTGACATGGCAGACACCAGGCTGGTCTCTTTACATCCATTGTTTCTTTTTATGTTCACAACAAACCCATGAGTGGGGTGTAATTTTAGATGAAAAAACTGAGGCCCGGAGAGGTTTTATATCACATGCCAGAAGGTGACACTAGTAACCATGGTGGAATAAGATCTTTCTGGTTCTGGAATTCAATAACTGGAATTATTTGGAAAGAAAATAAACCGGGTAGCGGGGTCATCTCACCTATCCCTGATGGTCACACAATCACTGTCCCATTGAGTGTTATTCTTTCTTTTTCCTGGTTCCTTCATAGGAGGACAGTTTCAGAACTAAAACAACCATTCCTGAGCCCTTTATTCCAAGTTCTGGGAACTGAGTAGCAGATGTCTGGTCTTTAAAAAGACCTCTTTAACTTGACATCTGATCCAGAGGCCAGATTTGGATCCCAGGTTTTCATCATTCCAGGCTACCTCTGATTCAGTTGAGCACCAAGTAGACCCCTTTGTGATCTAAGTACATTTTTTTCCTCTGAAACCAATTTGCTAAATATATTTAGCAAAATACATCACCTGTATGTGCTTAAGAGCTGTTTTGCTAACCTATGATACTTGGGGTTTGTTTTGTTTTGTTTGAGCATATACATTTTTGAAATCTCTTTTTATGAAGCATTTTCTCTCAATAAGTGGCTTAACAATCACAGAAATGCTCTCATTTAAATTCTGAAAATCTGATTTCTGCTATGGGGAGAATTTTACTATTGTAAGAGCACTTACAACCTTAAATTCCAACAAATGGGTTTTTTGGTTTTATTACATTTTTAGCAATATTTCTATTTATATATTAATGTATTGATTAATTAATTATTTTATTTATTTTTGGCATTGGAGATTTAACCCAGGGGTGCTCTACCACTGAGCTATATACCCAGCCCTTTTATTTTGAGAAAGGGTCTTGCTGAGTATCTCATTAATTTGCTCAGTCTGGCCTCGAATTTACAATCCTTCTGTCTCAGCCTCCCAAGTCACTGGGATCACAGGTGTGCACCACCTGGTTTTTCTTTTATCGTTTTCTAGCTTTTTTCCCAACACAGTAAAGAAAGCTCCTGGGAAAGAGGGTTAAGGTTCACTTAAATAATTTTTTAAATTAAAAAATGTGTTTTATTCCTTAATACTTACTGTAAAAAATTGTATAACAAAATACTAAGTCTCCTCCTCACTCCCATCCCATCTTCCTAAGCTATCAGTAGTGACAATTTGGAGTGTTTTCTTTACTTGGAAGTATGTAGATATACATATGGATATGTAAGGATCTCCTCTCTTGCTCTTAAAGTTGGACCATATTGCATTTATTGCTCTGTAAACTAGCTTTGGAAAAAAATGGGACTCTCACCCAGCTTGCTTAGGAAAAGTAACAGGTTTGGGCTAGCTGAGGATGAGACAGCCCTGAAAATGAAGCTTCCATGCAGAAAGCACGTTCCCACCCATCTGAGCATCCCTGCTAACCAGAGTGGGGGCCTGACCATCTACTGAATAACTGTGGCTCAAGGGCTGTCCTCCTGTCCTCTTGATACTCTGAGCCAAGCAGAGCATACAGGTCCAGAATCTTAGCATCCTAGAAACATTGCTCCAATTTTATTCCTCAGGATGGGACATCTGCAGCTCCCCTTGTTTCAAATATAGTAGATTCAGGAAAAAGACACTCATTGGCAATATTCATTACGCATTCACCACATGCTGGGAACTGACCTAAACACTTTAATGATCTGCACAACCCCCCTACGATGATAGGCATTATTATTATCCCCAGTTCATAGATGGAAAAGCTGGGGCACACTGGAGTTGAGTCACCTGCCTAAGGTAATCCTCAGATCTATGATTTGGTTCTAGAAGTTTGGTTATAGATGTCCACCTTACCCACTTAAACTGTGCAGTAGTGATTCTGTCATTGAAAGCTTGGTGATTGTGTAATTCTAAATTCCAGGAGCCAGATTTCCCTCAGTTCTGTGGAGGCCTTGGGTGGGAAGATAGCATTTAACCAAATCCCTGTCAGGATTACATCTGTTCTGACTCTGTGTCCCACAGGCAAGGAGAGCATTGGTACCAGCTGCGCCAGGCTCTGAACCAGCGGATGCTGAAGCCAGCAGAGGCTGCACTCTACACAGATTCTTTAAATGAGGTGATAAATGACTTTATGGCTCGACTGGACCAGGTGAGAGCTGACAGTGCCTCAGGGGATCAGGTGCCCGACATGGCTCACCTCTTCTACCACTTTGCCTTGGAAGGTACCCTTGCTGGGACAGGGGTTCAGAGTGGGAAGGGGGCAAGGGAAGGCTGTGCTCCTCCTCTTCATTTCCCCTGGGTTTTGTGTCTCCTGGCTCTGTGTCCTCTAATGGCTTCTGTTCTTCCCAGCTATTTGCTACATCCTGTTTGAGAAACGGGTGGGCTGCCTGGAGCCCTCTATCCCCAAGGACACTGCGACCTTCATCAGCTCTGTGGGGCTCATGTTCCAGAATTCAGTCTATTCAACCTTCCTCCCCAAGTGGACCCGTCCCCTGCTGCCCTTCTGGAGGCGATACCTGGCTGGCTGGGACACCATCTTCTCCTTTGGTGAGGACTCCCAGACCGGGGCCAGGGAAGAAAGTTGGTTGGCTCTCAGGCCTGTGCATCTCCAAATCTCTCCCAGGGCTATCTCCCTCATGTCACCAACCATTGGAATGGTTTGACCCATCCTCTGTTGTTCTCCATTGTCCCTGCAGGGAAGAAGTTGATTGATCAGAAAGTCAAGGAAGTGGAGGCCCAGCTACAGGCTGGGGGGCCAGATGGGGTCCAGGTATCTGGCTACCTGTACTTCCTGCTGACCGGTGGACTGCTCAGTCCTCAGAATGCTCTAGGCAGCCTGCCTGAGCTGCTCCTCGCTGGAGTGGACACGGTGCGTGAGCCGGGCTGACAAGGAGACCCAGGACTCTCAGCTCCCATCTGAACAAATCCCCCACTACCCTCTGTCTGATGCTGACCTTGATCCCTCATGTAGCTGCTGTTTCTATAACATGGATGCGACTGCGAAAGGAAAAAAGTCATCTAGCCCAGCTGAGGCAAAAGGGCCAGTCCTTTTGTAAGAGGGATCCCATCACCTCTGGGGGCTCTTTGCTCTCTGATAGCTTGGGAGGGTCATCACACACCTATTCCAACTCTCTTTTACTGCTTGTCCATGGGCACCTTTGTCTCTAGCAGATTCCTTTTGAGCCCCTTTGTCACATGGGGCTTCTCCTTGCTACAGTCACCTGTAAGGTGCAATTCTTCATTGTATCAGTCCTTATTCCACTCACATTTAGCATCAAGGTGATGAACCCTCATCTGTTTTTCTGCTATGTTTGTGGCAAATTAACTTTCTCTCACATTTTGCATGCTCCCACTCTGTAAACCCTCGCCTCGCCTCGCTGGGTACTTCTCTAGAAATCCCCTTTCACTTTATCTCCCATTCTACCCTCTAGACATCCAACACGCTGACGTGGACTCTGTACCACCTTTCAAAGAACCCAGAGATCCAAGCGGCCTTGCACAAGGAAGTGGTGGGTGTGGTGCCCAGTGGGCAGGTGCCCCAGCACAAGGACTTTGCTCGCATGCCCCTGCTCAAAGCTGTGATTAAGGAGACTCTGCGGTAGGATGTGATTCCCACAAGCTCAAGGTCTTTGTGTGGGGGAAAGCGTGAGAGACAGGAATGGGTAGTGGAGGCTGCTGGTGGGCCAGGGCCAGGAACAGGGGTGACATGGGAAGAGGGGCTAAGGCACCAAAAGGCGAGGAAGGAGTGGCCACTCTGTCCCTCCTTGGCAGACCCCCGGCATTCTGTTCCTTGCAGCCTCTACCCTGTGGTCCCCACAAACTCCCGGATCGTGGATCAGGAAATTGAAGTTGATGGCTTCCTCTTCCCCAAGAATGTGAGTGGGCCCAGAGTGCCCAAGTAGCCAGGAGTGCCCAGAGCCCTTTGCTGAGGGAGTCACGCTGTCCATTCCTCCCTCGTAGACCCAGTTTGTATTCTGCCACTATGTGGTGTCCCGGGACCCCAGCTCCTTCTCTGAGCCTGAGAGCTTCCAGCCTTACCGCTGGCTGAGGAAGAGGGAGCCTGCCATTCGTGGAAACCAACACCCATTTGGCTCTGTGCCATTTGGCTATGGGGTCCGGGCCTGCCTGGGCCGCAGGATTGCCGAGCTGGAGATGCAGCTGCTGCTGGCGAGGGTGAGCTGGGACAATTGGGAGCTCGTGTGGGCCAGGGAAGGGTGAGGGAGTCTGAGGGGGAGGAGAGCCAGGGAGGTTCAGAGTCAGCGTCTGCAGAGGGGGGCAGTGGATAGAGATCAAAGCTCCAGTCCTACCTGTGCTCTTTCTCTGTCAGCTGATGCAGCACTATGAGGTGGTCCTGGCCCCTGAGACTGGGGAGGTGAAGCCTGTGTCCCGCATTGTCCTGGTTCCCAGTCAGAAGGTGGGCCTGCGTTTCCTGCAGAGACAGTGCTGAGCTGGGCACTCACCTTTCTGGGGCTGGTCCCAGAGGCCTTGTTTCTGGCATAGTAGCCCTCGCACACTGCCAGGTCTTAGATGAGGAGGAAAGGAAGGGGACTGTCCGACTCAACAGGCTGGAAGAACTCAGCACCTTCCCACAGAACCTGGAGCTTTTGACACATCTATATCATTGTGAGCAACCCTCTCTCAGATGAAAGGCCATCTCTTACTGCATTGCTATTCTTGGTACAATATAAACTAAACGGACTTCTAATTCTTTGGAGTCTGTTTTTCTTTTGGACCACTCAGCATCTGAACCCTTTTCTGTTTGGGGAACACCCTTTCTGTACTTAGGAATCATGATGGGAGGCCTTGCTGCCCGCTCCTTGGAGACAGAGACCCTTGTGCGTTTCCCCAGACCTCACAGAGAGGCCTTGGCTTCACATAGTGAGGGCTGCAGCAGGGCGGCAGCAGCGGAATGATTCCAGGTGCCTTAGAGAGCAGCACTTCTATGGTCCTGCTCCCACTGCAGATAATAGAAGCCACCAGCTGGGTGTGGTGGTGCACACCTGTGGTCCCAGCACTCAGGAGGCTGAGGCAGGAGGATGGCTTGAGCCAAGGAGTTTAAGACCAACATGGGCCACAGAGTGAGACCCTGTCTCAAAAGAAGAAGAAGAAGAAGAAGAAGGAGGAGGAGAAGAAGAAGAAGAAGAAGAAGAAGAAGAAGAAGAAGAAGAAGAAGAAACCCTCCCCTACCATTTTTAAGGAAAATTCTGAGAGAGAGCCAACAGAATTCCACACGATTTGTTAGAGGAGGTCTAGGCTGGGCTGCAGTGGCCTCTAATAGATATGGAGCTGAAAGTCACAATCAAGAGGATGATAGTCAAGAAACTGTTGCTACAACTGTGCATCGCCTTAGTTAAAATAAAGGGGGCGGCTGTCCCCAAGCACAACCACCTTGTCATAGACCCGACTGTCATGCCTCTCAGTACTCAAAGAACCAATACTGATTGGCTTGCCTCCTGACTGCCCCTGAGAGCAGGAAAAGAACACTATTCGGCCTCATTTTTCACCTTTCAAATCCCTCAATACAACTGCCTAGAACCTCAGCTGCAAGGCAGGCTGGGGATGTAGTTTTTACATTTGTAGCCTCTTTAGTAAGAACAGGGGTTGGTATTGAGATCAAGAACACCACACCATGGGCCTGGAAACTCATCGAGTCCCAGCCCCAGCGGTACATTCTTCTGAGTCAGAAAACATAAGAAACTTCATTTTCTTACACTTCTGGGGATAAAACTGTTTTATTGTATTTTAATTTTTTTAGTACTGGAGATTGAATCCAGGAATCCTCTACCACTGAGCTACATCCTCAGTCCTTTTTATTTTGAGACAGTCTCACTATGTTGCTGAGGCTGGCCTTGACTTGTGATCCTCCTGTTTCAGTCTCCCAAGTCACTGTGCGTGCCACTGTGCCTGGCTTGAAAAAATTTTAAAAATTCAGTCATTACCTTGATTCAAATCCTTCAGTGGCTCCCCTCAGTCATCAAACCAAATAAAAAATTCTTCCTATGACTTATAAGACGCATCATGCTCAGGCACTGTCCACCCCCACTGAGGACACCCTTGCCCTAGCTGAGCTTGACTTCTTGCATCTTCCAGAGCACATTATGCTCTCTACTGGCTCACAACTTTGTAGTTACTGTCCCCTCTCTTGGCAAAACACACTCTTCACCAATTGTCATGTCCTCCTAGGGCATGTACTTAATGTCCCTTCTCTTGGCACAATCGCCTCTTCATCAACTGTCACGTTGCCCTAGGGAATTTGCTCTTCCTTGGATCAAATGTCCTGGCTACTGCAGAGCCCTCCTTGACCCCTCTAGGTGATTCCTGTGTCCTCCTCCGTACAGAACTGCGCACCAACATGTCCACCTCACTGTAGACCCGACTGTCTTCCTGGACAGCTGTGAACTCCCTGAAGGGCACAAATCACCTCCTTTCAGTTTGGATCCAGTCTAACTGTCCAGAATCTAAGAGGTGTTGAATAAGGTTGGTTGACCCTGGTGCCAGTAATCTTGGCAGCTTGAGAGGCAGAGACAGGAGGCTCACAAGTTCCAGGCCAGCCTCAGCAATTTGGCAAGGCCCTAAGCAATTTCATGTTGCCAAATCCTGTCTCAATATGAAAAATAAAAAGGGCCAGGGATGTGGTTCAGTGGTTTAAGTGCCCCAGTACAAAAATAAATAAATAAATAATATTTGTTAAATGAGAAGAGACTGGAATAGGAGGAAGAAGGAGAGGAGGAGGGAGGAACACAGCACTTTTCACATTGAGTAGAGAAACCTAGAGGAGATTGGGAGGGATTTCTGACCACAAGGACATGGCCCTTGACTTTACTGGGGCAGTGGGTTCACCTGTGAGGGCTCTTTATAAATTCAGAGGATGGAGTCTTGGATCAAAGGGTGCTAGGATCTCTGTTACAAAGTCAACCAGAGGAGACTTCTGCCTTCCCCAGTGTGTTGCTCCTTGAAACCAGCAGGGCCCAGCTGCTGAAGCCACGTGAACCTCCAACTGCTGGCGCTTGGTGGGAGACACATGTGTGATGTGAACTGGGATTGGGGTTTTGTAACAACTGTGCAAGAGCATTTCTGTGCTCATGATCTCGAACTTGATTAATGATCTCATGATCTCATAATTTGACTAATCTCACATCAAAATCCATGAAGGTCCCGCCATTACAGAACACAATATGAAGATTCCTCAAAAAATTTAAAAAAGCTACCATATGATCTAGCAATTTCAGAATATATACTTGATATATAGTCAAAGGAAATGAAGCCAGCATATTGAAGTGACATTTGCACTCCCATGTTGCTGCTTTGTTCACAATAGCAGAGAGACAGCGCTGACCTAAATGTCTACCGGTGGAAGAATGGTTAAGGAAAATGTAGTGTAGATACACAATGGAATACTATTCAGCCTTTAAAAAGAAGTATAACCTGTTATTTGCAACAACATGGATGAACCTGGAGAATATTATGTTTCATGAAATAAGCAAGCCACAGAAAGAAGTACTTATTATATGTGGTATCAGAAAAAAGTCAAACTCATAGGAAACAGGGAATAAAACTGTGGTTATCAGGGATGGGGGCAAGGGCAAGGGATTAGGGAGTTGTATGTCAAAGGACACAAAATCTCAGGAGGAGTAAGTTCAGGAGATCTATTCTACATTATGGAGACTAGAGTTAATAGCAATATAGTGTATACCTGGGAATGAATGAGGAATTAGACTTTGAGTGTTCTTACCACATACAAAGCATGATAAGGGACAGGGTGTGGCTCAGTAGTAGGGTGCTTGCTTAGTATGCCAAAGGCCCTGTTCAATATCCAGCACGACAAAATCATCATTATCATCATCATCATCATCATCATCATCATCATCATCCTGTGCAAGAGCACAGGATGTGAAGTGGTGCTTCCACAGAATGAATATCTTGATTTAGCCATTCCACAATATATATAAATATCCAAAAGTATTTTACACTATAAATATATATAATTTTCATTTGCCAGTTAAAAATATTTTATAAAGAAAACAAATCCAACCAGGTACAGTGTGCACATCTGTAATCCCAGCAGTTCAGGAGGCTGAGGCATGGGGATCATGAGTTCAAAGCCAACCTCAGCAAATTAGTGAGGCCCTAAGCAACTTAACTCTAAATAAAAAAAATATAAAAAGGGCTGTGGGTGTGGCTCAGTGATAAATCTCCAGTACAAACCCTGTATACCGTTCAATAGTATTACTAAAAAAAAAGAAAACAAATCCGTATCTACAAAAACCCATAAAGACTGTATATGCATGAATGAATATTTATATGTGTGTACATATATGTATGTGTGTGTGTGTATCCATAAATAGAATATTATTCAGCCACACAAAAGAAATACTGATTCTTGCCAATTTATGATTCAATCTTGAAAACATATTAAGTGGAAGAAGCCAGACACAGAAGACCACATATTGTATGATTGCATGCATTATGGAATATCCAGCAGAGGAAAGAGAGTAGATTAGTAGTTTTCAGGTGCTGGGAGGAGGGGAGGGAAAATGGGGAGTGGCTGTCAATGGATCTAAGGTTTCTTTATGAAGTGATGAATGTTATGGAATTACATAGTAGATGTGGTTGCACAACCTTGTGAATATAGTAATACTATTGGAGTGTATACTATGAAAGGGTGAATTCTACAGTATGTGAATTATACCTCAACTTAAAAAAAAATCTGTGAAGATAATCTTGGTCAAGATTATTGCAGAATTAGCTTCCAAAGCCAGGTATGGTGGCACATGTCTGAAATTCCATCTACTCAGGAGGCTAAGGAAGGAGAATTGCAAGTTGGAAGCCAATCTCAGCAACTTGGGGAGATCCTGTCTAAAAATAAAAATAAGCAAATAAATAAAAATAAAAAGGACTGAGAATGTAGCTTAGTGGTAAAGCACTCCTGGGTTCAATCTCTAGTACCCACCCCCCTGCAAAAAAAGCTTCCCATGTAATCAATACTGTTGAGGATCAAGTACCATAGAAATTTCTGAGGCAACTCTGCCTGGTGTGTATCTCCAGGGCTTATAATCCAAACTCAAATCAAAAATAAAAAATACAAAGTAGAAACACTAGCTAAGTAGATTGGTGAGTGAGTCAAGTCCTTGAGAAGATTAATTAAAGGACATGCTACACTTTCTCACTCTTAGATGTGATATGGGCACAGCTTTAGAGGCTCCCTTCAAAAGCTTTTGCTAACAGGGCTAGTTAGTCAGCTTCTCATTACTGTAACAAAATACCTGAAATAATCAACTTATAAGGAGGAAAGTTTGTTTTTGTTTTTGTTTTTTTGCCTCATAGTTTGGGGGATTTCAGTCCATGATCAATTGGCCCCATTGTTTGGGGCCTGTGCCAAGGCAGCATATCATGGCAAGAGTGTGTGGTAGAGCAAAGCTGTTCATTTCATGATGGCAGGAAGCAAAAGAAACCCTCTAACCGCCCCCCCAAGGACATGTCCCAATGACCAAAAGACCTCCCACTAGGACCCACCTCTTAAAGGTCCCACCACCTCTCAATAGCACCAAGCTGGGGACTAAGCCTTTGAACAACTGGCTTTGAGGGACATTCCAGAAGCAACCTATAGCAAGTGCAGAACCCAAGACATAAGTGCTGAGGAGTCAATGACACAGACATGACACCTTGGCCACAGGGGCTACTAGCAGAAAGCCCAAAAATGCAGCAACAGCGGAGGAGGCGAATCAAAGACTTGCATGCCAAACCAGGAAAAACAAAATACAATGTGGCCAAGAGCCCTGCACTTTATACTTGAAGATTTTTTTCCTTTTCTTTTTTTAAAGATTTTTGCTTATAGGTAATAGATCTACAGAAAAATAAACTCCACTGGGCTGGGTATGTGGCTCATAGGTGGATCACTTGTCTAGCATGTGTGAGGCCATGGATTCCATCCCCAATATGAGAAGAGAAAGAAAGAGGGAGCGGGGAGAGAAAGGCAGGCAGGCCGACCCATCAAAAGTGTACATGAAATTTTTTTGCTTATCTTGGAGTTGAGAATGGCCTCTGTCTATGCATACTCTGTTGCCATGCCTCACAGACTGCTCTAATGTAAACGGAGACGCTACTTTATTTGACAGTGGATAGTTCAAGCACGCATAAGTGTGACAGGGTGGATGTAATGTCATAGGTAGGTCCCTTCCCTTGCAGCTTTCTCTGTGCAGGGTGAACAGCAGCAGCCCTGTTGGAGGGTTGGCACAAAGCCCATAAGTGGCCAGTAATGGCACTCCCTTCCAGGGTCTGAGAATCTCAGGGTGCCCAAGAGTCACAGCAAAGGGATGTTACAGTGAGGCTCCCTGATGGCCCACCCTACCTACCTCTATAAGGAAAAATATTCTGCAGGTGTAGGATAATTGCAGAAAAGTAGACATTAATTCAGCCCAGCAGATACACCTTTAACTGAAAAGAACGCACCTTTTGTTACTCCCAGTCCAGCTCATTGGAATTTGTTGGTCAAAGTGGGATCGATATTTTGAGTAAGGTTTTTAAGAGAACAGCTTGTCTTCTTAAACACCTATGCAACACTCTTGTGAATAAAAATAGACAGGGCGTCAGCATTGGCTGGATGTCTGCTTTATTAAAACACTCATATTCTGTAGACATTTTAGCTCTGAATGCATCTTGGTTTGATAATAGAAATTTTTTTCCAAATTGTTGTGTATGATTCTAGTTTTAATATGTCTGTCAAGTAAAAACTTTGACAGTTGTCATCATGGAATGAACAATAATAACATTATACTGAAAACTGTTGTGCTTAAGGATTTTGGGAAGAGGGTCTGTGAGGAGGCTAATAAATTATATGTCCTTTATAGCATGCTGTCATTCTTAGCCATTGCTTCTTGAGACTTTAGTCAAAATTTAATAATAGATAGACCCCATCATGTGACAATAGACAGGGAACCGCATTGACTTTACTATGCAATGAGACATTCATCCTGCTTTCTCAGCATACTCTCATGCTCATCATGTGTTAGTAATTGTAAGTTTCTTGTTTTTATAGAAAATAAACATAGATGCCCAGGCTACACTCCAAAATCAGGAAATGGGTATATCTACGAATGAGTCCCTGGGCTCTGGATTTTACAAAGCTTCCTTGGTGATCCTGAAGCACACCCAGGGCTGAGAACCATTGAGAGGGTTGAGAGAAGAGATGGGGAAAGCAAAGGAGGCCTGAGAGTCCAGCCCTGAGGGCACAGAAACACAGAGAAGCCTTGGGGGACTGAAGAGGAGCTGGGGACAACAATGCTTGACTCCTACTTAGGCACGAGGGGACAGCAGGGCAGATTGCACTTTAGGGAAGGGTTATTCTGAGCTAGGGTGGAAGTGCTTGCAGCCTCCCTGGAAATTCTACATCTCTTTTTCTGGTAGCCATGATGGCTGCAAGGGTGAGCCAGAAGCTGAGGGTGGAGCTTGATCAAAAGAGACAGTGAGGTGGGATGGTCCCCCACAAAGCGCCCAAGGAGGAGGTCTGCTGGGTCCTCAGAATGGTGACCCCACACAGGTAGAGATGTACATATTCTCAGGAAAGTGTGAGGGGAGGCAAAGGGTACCTGATGACTTCCTCAGCCTTGCTGTTACCCCTGAAGGCCTGTCTCAGGCACAGCAACTCAGAGTCACACCATCAAGGTTATTATTACATTCTCCAGAGCCAGCGCTTGCTGGGGGCAGCCCACCCTGAACTCCCCAAGGACGTTGTCACTTGAGAGATCTTCCTTTGGCCCAGTTGCAACTGTTGCCCCTATCTCATCCTCCCACTTGAGCCAATACCTCACACCTTCCTAAGGGACAGAGCAGAGCCAGCAGTGACTCTGGGATCTGGCAAAATGGCTAGTGAGAAAATACCTTCATTTACTGCCTGACAGAACAAGCACAAATGTCTCCACTCTGCAGCTCTGGGAGGTAATGGGGGCAAGATCATATTTCAGAAATATTAACCTTACGCTTCCTGCATGAGACAACTGGAGCTTCAGTGTCCATTGCCTCAGGGGAGGGTGACAGAGGAGAAGCCTAGTCTTGGCTTTGGAGTTTCAAAAGGCTGATCCTCAAAGTGGGTAGCAAAAACTCAGGACACATACTGTGGATTTGGCAGAATATATATATGATGGGTCAGAGAACCAAGGCCTCCTCTCTCCCCATTGGTAAAGGTTCCATAGGCTGGGATGGGCTGGAGAAGACAGTGGACATTTATGGGGTCCCTAAGAAAAGGGGAAAAGTCTGAAGGGGAAGGGATATGTATGATAAATACCTCATACAGGTGAGGAGAGTCTAAGGGTAGAAGAGCCTGGTGCCCCGTGTTCCCAGTAGAGTCTGGAAAAAATGGTAAGATGTAGGGTAGAACAGGATACTAGCTGTACAGCTCAGCACATGGGCCTGGAACAGCCTCATAGAGCTTCCAAAGCCCAGAGGGATGCAGGGAAAGGAGCTAAAATGTCTTGCTTGCCCCAAGCAGTCAGGCCCCAACAGGCTTTGGGAATAAGGGAGCACATGGCAATGTCTGTGACTATGCACACCAATGATCCACCAACTGCCAACAGGGATGTTTCAGCAGGTACTGGCATGGTGGGTGCCGCACTGGGGAACAAAGGCTTATGCTACTTAAAGTTTTCCAAACTTAGTCCCAGGAAAAGATGGGAAGAGACTCCAAATTGACTAGATCAATTTCCACCACCTGGTATGGGGTTCATAATAGAAATTGCATTCAGTGTTAGAAAAATAGCTATTTCTTGCAAACTCAAGTTTTATAGACTGGGTTTTACCTACCATGTAGTAAATTAATAAATATTTTATGATTTTTGTTATAAAGAAAAGATTTTTTTTAAAGTCAGTGGAATAACATTCTATGCACAAAAGAAATGCCACTTGCTGCTTTTGTCAATCGTAGACTTTTCCTCCAAGTCTTACATTCAGCAAGCAGAAGGATCTTCAGAAAGCCGTAAGTTCGGTTAAACAACTAGCGTTTTGAGTGGAATCTATAAAAATCCAAGTCATGGCTTGTTCTTTTTGCATTTGTCTTTTTGATTGCTCATTTTCAGGGATCCAAATACAAGGCCATCTGTCACTGATGAGAGAGAAGGCGTTTTCTGGACTACCATGGAGAGAAGACCCCACACCATCAGACAGTTCTACAAGTAACTGCTGTTCCATTGTGACCCTAGCAGCCCTGAAATGACCACGCCAGGAGGGTAGAAGGGCAGCAACAAAGTTATAGGGAACCACTAAAGTGGTCCCCATGGGGAAAGAACAGTTGGGTCTCCCAGGAGCGAGCCAAACACAGTCCAGAAGCCCAGGAATCCAGAGCCCTTGAATAAGCCTGCGGCTACCGGCTCACTACCGCATCCCAACCAGCCCCGATCCAGGTAGGGGAAAGGGATATGAGTGCATATGGGACACAGGTGGCCCTGGGTTAGTCCCAGTGCCTGTGCTTCAGGGACCTCCAGCCTTGACTCAGTTGTTCTCCTTAATTTCATCATCCCACAGTGCACTGGGCATGCCCAAGAACTTTGGGGAGTATAGACAGGGCAAGGACAACCAGGGAGGCTGGAGAAGCCTGTGAGGAAGAGAGAAGGGAAGATAGTGACCAAATAGGGAGGGGAGTTGTCTTCCCAATAGGAGAGTTGTGCCATCCACTGTCAATAGGTGAAAACTGTCCCCCATCCCTCTGCAAACCTCTAGCAAATGTTACGGGGAAAGAGTCTGTGATCACAACAAATTTACCAAGGTGAGCACTAGGTGTAAGCACCCTACTTTAAGGGAACTTAGTTCTTACTGAGGATAGAAATTCCATTTGACAAAGGTTTATTAGCTTACTTCCCTCCAGGGGTTCTGCTCAGCTATGAGAGGGGCCATTGCTATCTTCATGGTGCCCCAGTCTGAGATCTAGGAAACTAAAAAGTTATAGGGGCTGATCCAAGGGCCGGGGGCAAAGCCTACCTGGAACAGAGCTGACTTGGCAAACAGATGGGGAAAGATGAAATCTGGGTCCCCTGCTCCTTTCCTTGTCTTCAGGGTATGGAAGGTGAGGGGATAGGAGTGAGGACTCGTATTCTCAGGCACCGAGGGCATCAATGCCAGCAGGGCTCAGCACCAGCGCCTGAAGGATGTCGGAGAGGGAGACCACGCCCAGGAGATGCTGGGTCTCGTCTACTAGCACCAGCCGGTGTACCTGTGGGTCACATTGTTCAGTGACTAACCAGGCCCCACCCCACCCCATCCCAAACAAGCAGGGGAAATAGTTTGACATAGCTGGGGGGACAAGAGGGTGTCTCCTGGGAACCAGCTGGCAATGTCTCTGAGCACTCAGTTGACTGGCCCTTGGCAAGAGAACCTCATAGACAGGACCAGGTGCATACCAAGGTGAATGCCAAGAATTGGTCTCGAAATAGGAGGACAGGCCAGGTGTCCACTGTCCAGGGATGGCTGGAGCCAACATGGAAGAACTGGGCCATCTCTATGGGGGCATTCCTGGAGAGGCACAGGGTACCTGTTCTCGAGCAATCCTGTCAATGACTTCTCCCAGGCTCTCGTGGGGCTGGCAGGAAAGAACCCCCTCCAGACACAGTGTCCTCTGTCGCAGGGCTTCTCCCACACTCATGTCTAGGTGGTTGTAGGTTTTCTGGGCAGCCAAATGCTGGGGCAGGGAGAGAAACAGAGTTGCAAGTCACCGCTTTGCTCAGACTCCCACCTCACTTGACAGCACCCCTTACACACTCGTGAAGTGTGTCCACAGATACTCCCCCATCCATCCTCATACCACAGCCTCCCTAAGGCACCCCAAGCCCCAGAGACACTTACAATCACATCAAAGCGGGAGTAGAGGCCCACGACCTGACCTACAAGGGGAGAGAGGAGAAAGACAGGGAAGAGGGCCGCATCAGGACCAGGTGCTGTGCAGAGGGCCTGGGCCAGGTCTTGGAGTGGACTCCTCCATATCCTCCCAGGTTGCAGCTTTATAATGAGGCATCAGGCTGCTCCCTCTGAGCCATGAGTCAGCCTGGCATCACAGAGAGTGAGACCACCTCATCTCCTGCCCCCTGAAGAGATGCAATACGAGAACAGTGTATCACCTATGAAGTGAGTATTCTAGTCCCCAACATGTAGGGCCAACTCATCAGGTTTCCAGGAAACTAAAGCAGAGAATAAGGTGAAATCCACCTCTAGGAAGCAAATGGGCAAATCTGGAGAGGAATATTCTCTGGATAACCCATTCAGGCTCTTCAACTCACCTGCGTCAAACAGTCAGGGGAAAGGGAACAGTTCTAGATGTAAAGAGACTTAAGGGACAAAAGACAGAAATGCAAAATCTGGACCTTTAGTTGGATACTGGTTTGAACAAATCAATTATAAAAGAAAAAAAAATCTTGGGAGAAATTGCAAAATGAGAATAAGTATTGAACATTAGATATAACATTAGTAAATCATTCCTGGTTCTGTTAGGGTAGAAAATTATACTCAGAGACATAATATTGTCTGTAATTTAAAATGCTTTAGAAAAAAAGATGAACTGATTATGGCAATACATTAACAATAGTTAATCCAGGCAACATATATATGAGGTTCATTATACAATTTTTTCTTTTTTTAAAAAAACCTTTCTTTTTTTTTGAGAATTTTTTTTAATATTTATTTTTTAATTTATCGGTGGACACAACATCTTTGTTTGTATGTGGTGCTGAGGATCGAACCCGGGCCGCTTGCATGCCAGGCGAGCGCGCTACTGCTTGAGCCACATCCCCAGCCCAATTTTTTCTTTTTTTAATAATTATTTTTTAGTTGTAGTTGGACACAATACCTTTATTTTATCTATTTATTTGTATGTGGTGCTGAGGATCGAACCCAGGGCCTCGCATGCGCTAGGCGAGCACTCTACTGCTGAGCCACAGCCCCAGGCCCTAATTATACAATTTTTAAAAATTTATTTGAAATTTTTCCAAGTCAAAAATAAATTAAAAGTAGTTCTTGACAGGCACGATGGCATACACCTGTAATCCCAGCAACTGAGGAAGCTGAGGCAGGAGGATAACAAGTTCAAGGCCAGCCTTGGTAACTTAGAGAGACCTTGTCTCAAAACATAATAAAAATGGCTGGCTGGGGATGCAGCTCAGTAGTGGAGCACCTCTGGTTCAAACCCAGTACTGAAGGGGAAACCAAACCAAATCAAACACTTCTGGATATCTAGCTTTATTATGGTGAATTTTTTTTGGGGGGGGCGGTGCTGGGGAATGAATCCAGGGGTACTATATCACTGAACAACATCCCCCGCCCTTTTTTTTTTTGAGACGGGATCTCACTAAATTGCCCAGGTCAGCTGGGAACTCACGATCCTCCTGCCTCAGCCTCCTGAGTCCCTGGGATTACAGGTCTGCACCACCACACCCAACCAAAGAAGAATTCTTGTTGTCCCTCTGGTCCTTTCTAAAACAGGAAATTGAATGACAAAATCATAGAATTTACAGGGAAATGGATGGCATTAGAGCAGATTATGCTAAGTGAAGCTAGCCAATCCCTAAAAAACAAATGCCAAATGTCTTCTTTGATATAAGGAGAGTAACTAAGAACAGAGTAGGGACGAAGAGCAGGAGAAGAAGATTAACATTTAACAGGGATGAGAGGTGGGAGGGAAAGGCAGCGGAGCACAACAGACACTAGTATGGCAATATGTAAATCAATGGATGTGTAACTGATGTGATTCTGCAATCTGTGTATGGGGTGAAGGTGGGAGTTCATAACCCACTTGAATCAAAGTGTGGAATATGATATGTCAAGAAATTTTGTTTTGAACAACCCACAATAAAAAATTTAAAAAAAAATAAAATAAAACAGGAAATTGACTCTGGCTGGGGGCCCAAGATCTCATGGCCCATTTTAAGATGAACTGAGACCAAAAAAAAAAAAAAAACTGGTCCTGCTGTCTCACCTCACTATGCTGATTTTATTGCAACTAATCTTGTAAATCCTGTGAAGTCAGATGTATGGATATTGTTAAGATTGCCATTTCACAGATAGGAAACTGAAGCAAAGAAAAGTTAAGTGACTGGTCCAAGGCTCAAAGCAGGTGACTTCTACCCCATTCCACCCTGGGCACCCAAGTTGGTGCCACATGGACTCCTGACACCCCACACCCCACCTCATGTTGTCCCCCCCACCCTGCTCTTGCTCTAGTGCAGATACCAGATTCATTGATCACAGGCAGGGCAGACACACGCCGGTCCACGAAGATGTCAAGTGCGGTAAGGACAGGCGCCGTTTCCAGTACCACAGCCAAATCTCGGAATGTGCCGATGCCCAAATCTTGGATAGTGCGGTAGAGGAAGGAGGGCCGGGGCAGCAGGGCACCCTGGTGGGGTGGAGACAGAGTGATGATCAGTGGTCAAGCAGCCCAAGAGGGCTCTGGGTTCCTCCGTCTCCCACGTCCAGACTTGAAGACTTAGCCCCTTGGGTCACCTTCCTGTGGCTCCCCCTGCCTCCCCCTGGCCCTGGGCTCACAAAAATGTGCAGGAACTTGAGCAGCCGCTTGTGTGTGAGGATGTAGAGCACCGTGCCAGAGACAGGGTCCAGGACTGGAAGGCGATGGATCCGGTTCTTAATGAGGACATAGACGGCTTCGAACAGGCTGCACAGGTGAGACCAGAAAAGGGGGAGCAGCGTGGGAAGAGACACCTTCTACTCCAGTCCCCCCAGATAGGAAGGAGGATGGGGCACCAAAGTTGTCTCATCTGTCTGCTTCCTAGGATGGGTCAGGGGAAGGGACAGGGCAAGACAGGGGCTCAGGTAGTTGATGGGGATGCTTACCTGTCATTGGGAGAGATGGAGACCAGAGGCTTGAAGCAGCCTTGAAGGTAGATCTCTGTAGAAAAAGCCAGAGTGAGGCTGAGGGAGTGGCTACTGCCTCCCCTGCAGCTGGACTCTTTTCTTTCCCCAGGCACCTGAGGCTCCCTATCGCTTGCACCCTGCAGGAAACCAGACGGAGGAACCCAGAGCCCTCTGAGCTGGCCCTCCCTCTGCCCCAGGTCCTGGGCCCCACCCTCGACCCCACAGCCCCTCTCCCCACTCACCCCTCCAGGTCTCGATTTTATGTTCTTCAATCTCATAGATCTGGACCTAGAGGCATCGACAAGATTCTGGTTTCAGATGTGGACTTGGCAGGCACCAGGCTCCCTGAAGACCCCCTTCCACCCCAATACTACTGGCACCCAGGGCTCCCGGCTGCTCCTTACCAGGGGGGACCTGTAGTATCTGTGAAGCACCAGGATGAAGTCTGTGATGGTGAGCATCCCTACGGGCAGGCGGGACACAGGGGGGACCATAAGCTTTCTGTCCTTGGGTGTGAGGGAGGTTCAAGGTGCCACTCTCCCAGCGCCCTTGCCATTCCTCACCCCCCCTCCCCAGCCTCTCCTCACCCACAAAACTTTGCTTCTTGCTGTCCCACAGAGGTGCTGCCCGCACACCATTGGCCACCAGGGCAAAGAAGGCCTTCTTGATCTGAAGGATGGGACAGAACAGTGGATGGGTGAGTCCCAAGAGGCCCACATACTCCCCTCTTGCTGCCCCTCAGTGGCCACTCCCCTGTCCACCTGCTGTCCTCTTTGCTGTTCCCACCAGTGTCCTTCCTTGGGATCTTCTCCCAGGTTCTCCTCCACAGGAGCCTGCCTGTCTTTCCCATGTCATGGCACACACTAGACCAGATCCCACTTGGGCACATTTACAATTATAGACAAGGCTGCTTGTGGCGGGAGGTACAGGAAGACCCTCAGCAGTTACAGCAGGTTAGAAGCCCTAATTCAGAGTCTCCACTTGGAAATCATGCATGTACAGACACAAGCATAATTTTTTACTAATCTAAATAAGTACTAGAGATAGAATTATTTACATAATATTTACATAGTTTTTGTCTCTGAATAAACTATAAATTGACTCATTATTAAACAATACACTCTGTACATGCTGGTTGTATTTTTCTAATACACATTAAAATAAATACAAAGCTATTGAAATGAAAGTATTTGTTCATGAACTACTAGAACCAAATTGTGTACTGTAGGTGACATACAAACCATGCTTTAAGCATTTTACATATACTGTCTGCTCGATGGTACCAGTAATAAGAACAGAACCACAGCCAGGCGGGGTGGTGCACGCCTGTAATCCCAGTGGCTCGGGAGGCTGAGGCAGAAGGATCATGAGTTCAAAACCAGCCTTAGCAAAAGTGCTAAGGTGCTAAGCAACTCAGTGAGACCCTGTCTCTAAATAAAATACAAAATAGGGCTGGGGATGTGGCTCCGTGGTTGAGTGCCCCTGAGTTCAATCCCCAGTACCAAAAAAACAAAACAAAACAAACAAAAAAAAAACAGAACCACAGACATTTGGTAGCTTAATCTAATGAAAGAGCAGGTACCAGAGATCTTCTAATTTTTTCTGTTACCAAGAGTCTCCTGCTCTTCTTTCCTAAGCAACTCTGCAATGTCTTAGACATACTTCAAAGTTTGTTTTCACTTTGTACTGGGTTGTCCTGATACTCTGAAACACAGGGGGCAAAGCAGGCATTCTGATCTCCATTTTCAAGATAATGGAGATAAAGTGATCAATGCAAAGTTTTGTAGATAGTGAAATTGAAGAGTTGGGATGATGGGATGCTCCCAAAGAACAGAATCCCTCCCTCTCCCCACTGGGCTCCGTGGTGCTAAAGAGCTCTTGAAGGGGACTTGGCAGGGCATGCTGGAGGGTATGAATGGTGGTGACAAGATGGCGTTGAGCATGGAGACCGAGCTCTGGTGTGGCAAGCTGGGTCTCACCTCCAGCGTGGTGTCAAAGATGACCAGCTTGGAGCTGGTTGCCATCGCATCATAGCAGGTGTGCTCCTGCATGAAGTGCATGTAGACCTGGGCCCCAGGCTTCTGCAGCTCGTCCTCCCAGCCCAGGCTGAGTAATGGAGCCTGTGGCGATGGGCATGGGGCAGGCCTCTCTTCCCCAGGGCCTTCAAGTTCGAAGCCCCAGGCTTCTGGGGCTGGGAACTCCATGGCCACCTCCAGATCATCTGTGCTGGAGCTGGCGGCTGAGGCTGCAGAGTGCTGGGGGAAGAGTTCCCACCCTGTGGGCGGGGTGCCCACCCGGGCCAAGGGAGCAGCTTTGGCCAAGGGTGTGGCTTCTGGGAATGTGGCCTCCAGCCCGGTGGACTCAGCAGCTGGCCTGGAAGGGGGACCTGATGGGAAGAGAAGGGGGATAAGATAGTAGCTCCATCTTCAAGCACGTTCTCATCAGCTGTCTCGGTGACCTCATGGCAGCCTTGGGAAGCTTGGATGCTGTGACTTCATAGTGCAGTGGAGAAGCCGAGTCACCCAGGTGGCTGCTCTGTCTGTGGGTCCTAGCTGGCCACAGGGCCCTTGGCTCTGCCCTGCAGTTGTTCTCTCCCGTGTGGGGAGACAGAGGTCACAAGATGAGGATTGGGCCCAACTCTGTGTTAGGAAAGGATCCATGGAGTCCCGCCACCCAGGCTCTGGGCTTCCCACTGCCCTGGCTGTCACCTCTCCAGAACTGGCCTTGGCCTTACCTTCTTCCAGATCCGGTGGTTCTCCTTCCTCCATAGCCTCCTGCCTCGTCCATCTTGATGCCTTGGCCCCCCGTTTCCCATGGATTATTTCTGAACTGGTGGTCATGGCTGGTGAAGGCCATGAGGAACTGTCTCCTTGCTCTAGGAAGCTCATCTCTGGAAGGGAGAACAGGGCCTGTTTGGTTAAGTGGGTAGTACAACAAAATCAGTTAAAATGTTGTTAATAACACTATTGGCAAACTTCCAGGGGGCTTTTTCTCCATCATATTTCTTATTCTATGCTCATACCAGCTATATAAGGGAGGCATTATTATCATCCCTATCTTACGTGCAAGGGACCAGAAATTCAGAGAGGTTAAGCAATTTGCCACAATCACACAGCTAGGAGGTGGTAGAGTCAGGAGTGGGGTTTAGGAGATGAGAGAAACACACTGGGCAGAGGAGGAAGAAGGAACCTCTCCCAACAAAATTCAGGCTAGGGGCTGGGAATTGGCATACCAGAAATGTGGGGGACAAAGGAAGTGGGAGAGGATGCAGACCCACAGAAAGGGGGCAGTCTACCTACCTTGGTGCTCAGGCTCCCCTAGGCTGCTCCAGGACAGGGTCTATGGGGAGAAGAATGTCTGAAGGGGTGGGAAAAAAGCCTTGGGTTCCCGAACCGCAGGTCTTCTTCCCTCTCACTGTACACATAGGCACACACACAAACACACACAGAAACATCCAACCACTCCTAGACACACACAGGACTTATACACACTCACACACTATGTATATACATAGGCACCAACACACACAAACAGAGAAAGTGTAGACCAAACAGCACACACGCACACAACCACACATACACACACATTCACACGTGGTGCCCTCTGTGCTCTCGATCCTTGGGCCCTGCTGCCCCGGTGCCAGCCCCACTGGGACCCCAGTACCCTGCGCAGTGCGTGCTCCAGCTCGGGCTCCATGCAGCAGGCCCCAACCAACCGTGAGCAAGTGCCGACTCCCCGGCTGGGCAGCACTATTCTGGGCCCGGCCTCTGGCGCCCTGCCTTGCCGGGATCGGTTTCTCTGATTGGGTGTCAGGCAGCCGGGAGGGAGGGGGCCACCCGCAGCTGCTCCAGCCCAGGAGCCTGGGGGCGGGCTGGGGAGGCGAGGGGCGAACCTGCGAGTCTTGGTGCCTGGTCTTCGGTGGCCTCCAGGTCTCCCAGGACAAGCTAGATGGACCCTGCTGCTGAGGAAGCGGCTTGGCATATTGTGGGGGCATGAGCACTAGGAGAAGTTGGGTTCTTGCAGTCCCAGGGCCCCGCTCAGCTTTATCAGGCACCAAAGTACTGAAAGTGGAGGCTGTTGAGCTTAACTTTCTTCCCAGTACAAATTTTGGTGGGGGTGATGCTGGCTTAGAAAGAACCAGTGGAGGCCACTGTGCAAGCTGGGGATAAGGCAGGGAGCTCATGGGTGATCCCGGCAGAGCAGCCGGTCTATGTCATGATGCCCTCCATTTGAGTCTGGGATCCTCTCCTTCTCTCAGGTGGAGGAGGTGGAGTGGGTGGGTCAGGCAGGTGGGGAGCTCTGCAGGTCACCTCCAAGGCTTGAGGTGGGCTTCAGGGCTTGGGGCCCAGGCTTGTCCACAGAGGGAAACACCTGTTGGTGTCTTCCTGTGATTAGGAGATGTCTGGGTGTTCCAGAGCCCCAGCCCCCACCGCTGTGTGTACTGTCCCTATATCTCCTGGTGCCAACGGAATCCCAGCCTGGCTCTGGTGGCTGCCTACCCCCTTCCTTGGCATTCCAGGAGCCTGAGTCAGCGTCCAAATCAGGAAAGCTGACCCAGCTGCTCCTGCTCCCTTCTCACTCCCCCTCCCTTCCTCCTTCCAGCCTCTTCCATCCCAGTCTTTGGCTCAGGAGTGGACATTCAGTAATGGACTACTGGATTTCTTGCTGAATTTATTAAGCATATTTCCCTCCCTCCCTAGGAGTACCTACACTGTCTGCGGGGAGGGTGGAGGAGAACAGAGCAAGAAGGGGACTTTACCTTTTCTTGTGGGCCTCAAATAGCACAGGATCCCTGGAGCCTGTCTCTCTGTGGTTCCTGATGGTGGAAACTTCCAAGGCACAGCTAATGGGGACATCTCATACAATGGACAGACCACCGGCATATGATCTATCAAGGCATCACAGATGACAGATATTCCCTGCACTTTGCAGACATGCAACAATGGTCCACAGCTCACCAGCAGGCAATATTTATCCTTGTCTGATGTTCAATCTCTAATCCTCTGACACTTATTTTAGGATTTTAAGCAGTACCATTTCCAAACATCAAATTCTGCATTAGTTTGCAGACTGAGAAGCTGATAGAGTGGTTCTTCCAAGCATCTTCCATCTTGGGCACAACATGGCTACTCTAGCTCTTGGTGTTACATGAGCATTCCAAGTAGGAAACGGGGAAACTTTTTCTTTTAATGCCTAACCTGGAAGTTGCTACCATTATTTACACTCACATTGCATTGGCTGAATTTGGTCAGGTGGTCACAACTTCACTTCAAGAGATGTTGAGAATCAAAGTCTTTATTATGGTCAGCTGTGTCAGGCAGTCTTTCATTCCTGTGACAAAATACCTGAGAAAAACAACATAAAGGAGGAAAGATTCATTTTGGCTGATGGTTTCAGAGCATTGTCAGATGATTCTGTTGTTTCTGGGCCTGTGGTGAGGCAGAGCATCATAGTGGTTAGGAAAGAGAAAGAGAGAGAGAGAGAGAGAGTGGGGTAGGGGGAAGGGGCTGGGAACAAGATGTAATCCCCAACAGCACACTCCAAGGGACCACTCCCTTTGACTATCTCCTACAGTCTCCACCACCTCCCAATAGTCCGTTCAGCTGTGAATCCACCAATGGATTAATCCAGTGATGATGTCAAAGTCCTTCTGATTTAATCACTTCCCAAAGCTCTGCTGCTGAACATTGCTGCATTGGAGATCAAGCCTTCAATATATGGGCCTTAGTGAAACATTCCAGATGCAGATCCAAACTATAACAGCAGCCCTTTCAGCTGAAACTCAAGCCATTTTATTACTAAAGAAAAAAAGAAACAGACGTTAGGAGGCAACTGGCAGTCTCTGTTACAGAAGCTATTAGAGAAAACACATGTGGGTGTAAAAGAAACTCCCTTTTCATGATTTTCATCTTCATGCTCATAGGAAAAGACTCAGAGAAATCAAGCAAAATTTCCCAAGGTCATTGGCAAGCAAAGGACTGAGCCTAAGCTGGAATCAGGTCTGTCTGTCCCCAAAACAGACTTTTCATCACATCCAGCCAACATATTTTGACCATCAAGGGGCCCACAGTTGAACTGGAGATGAATAACATTTGCTTATGAAACAGTTGGGTGAATACCAGCTCAACTCTACTGAGATGGACACGCACCGTAAGGAAATGCAACTTGCATAATAGTCAGGGAAGACTTCCCGGAAGAGGAGGCCCTGCTTCTGACCCTGCAGGAAGTAGCACAGAGAATGGAGCATGGCAGTGGTGTGAGCTGAGTCTGCTCTGTGCCTGTGAAGGTGACTCAGAGCATAAGGGGGCAGTGGGCAGAAGCTGGAGGTGTGGGCTCTCTGGGTCCACTGCATCGTGTGTCCTTGTGGATGGTTCAGAGAACCTGTAACTCATGGAAACTGGTAGGAAACACTGAGACCACTGGTGCATGTTGGCTGTAACTTACTGCTTCTAGCAAAGTTCTACAAGAGCTGGCACTAGGGCTACCTTTGGAAGAAGGTGGTACCTGGGCTCCCAGCCCATTCTCGAGCCCATCCTTTTCAGCAGACAGTGGGAACCAGCTCAGTGGGCAGACATCAGAAGAAGGGAGTTTCCTTTACACCCACGTGTGTTTTCTCCAATAGCTTCAAGATTGCCACCACCTTACGGAGAATAAGAAGAATACAAATCCAGAGTATTCCTGCAATAAATATTTGAACCCAATGGTAGAAGATGCAGGACCTCCCCATCCTACCATGGCCTGCCTACCTATCTCTGTCAGTTTTGTGTCACTATAACAGAATACCACAAACTAGGTAATTTACAAAGAAAAGAAATTTATTTCATACAAGATCAAGGGTCTACATCTGGCAGAGCCCTTTTGCTACATCATCCTGTGGCAGAAGGCAAAAGGCAAAATAGCCTGCATGGAGAGAGAGAGAAAGAGAGGGCAATCTGTTCATAACAGATCCACTCTTGAGAAAATGTTTTCCACTCCATGAAAACACCATTAATCCATTCCTGAGGCCAGAGCCCTCATGACCTAACCACCTCTTAGAGGCAGCATATCTCAACACTGTTATTTTGGAGATAAGTTTCCAACATAGGGTATAAATATGTCAAACTAAACTCTTCTGTCATCTATAACTAAGAAGAACATTTAAAAATATTTCCGACATATGAACTTTTGGGAGACACATTCAGATCATAATCCTCCCCCACCCCCACCTACTTCTGGACTGTTATGTTAAAAATAAACTTCTGTCTTGTGTAAGCCACTGACAAGTGGGACCTTTGCTATAGCATCTTTCTCTAATTAATCCATTTACACTGCAGGATTGGTGTAGCACCAGAATTTACATATGTAGATACTGACCCTTATTTATAGAGAACACTGAACACATCCTAGGCAGTATCCCACGTAATCCCTTGCAACATTGTGAAATAATGATTTTATTACTGTAGTTTTACAGATGAGAAAACTGAGGCATAAATAGATTGAAGTAACTTGATCAAAGTATCAAAGCTAGTGAGATGCAGCCAAGAATCAAATCCAGGGTTTCTGAACTCCAGTGCCCATAAGTAATCACTGAACTTTAGGGGGAGCACAGGCTTGGCATGTAATATGTGCTCAGTAAGTGGTTACTATTGTTATTACCTTGCCACCTGCTCCCAGTGACCCCAGACCTCCACTTCAGAGGTCCCAAAGGCAGGCAGGCATGGGAGGGCTTCAGCACTTTAGGGGTCATCTCAATCTCACACTGCCATCAGAGTCGGAGGTGTGCTCCGGCTGGAGTCAGACATCAGTGCTGCTTAGCACTGAGACCAGAATGATTTGCTAGTTTAAAGAGAGTGCTCCATCCTGACCTTCCTGCCCCTGCCCTGCCCCTGCCCTTTGCCTCTCCATCTCCCACACCTGCTCACTGCCAGCCCAACTCCCACCTGTCGCCTCTGGCAAGGCAAATCGGCAGAACATACTGGCCTCAGTTGGAAATGTATACTTCTTGGGTGATTGATTTTAACCTCTGGCCATGATATTATGTTTCTTGAAATCCTGCTTCATGACTGCCTCAGAGACTGTGTGGATAATAAAGACCCTGCACCCTGACTCTAGGGTGAGTTTGGCTGCCACCTCTGGAGAGCCGATTTGTCTAGTACATGGAGTTGGGGATCCTGTTTAAGTGTTATTTTTATATCAGAGGGAGAAAAACAGCTTAAGGAGGCCAAGGGAGTAGCCCGGACGAAACCATGTACTGACAAATCACAGATGGGGTCCCCTTCTGCCAGAGCAGTTGAGAGGCTGTGAGAGTAGCCTTTGTTCAGTGGCCCAGACACATCAGCTCATCCTTCCTGGGGGTGCTGGACACAGCAGCATGTGTGGACTGGACAGAACCTCGGTGACAGATTTCCGTTGGTCCACAGGCCCATTGCTGAGCTTTTCCTGTGAGCTGCTGGGGATGGTAGTGCCCAGATGGTACTTTTGCCTCCCCGCCCCCACAGTATCCTTTTGCCCCATTTTTGGCACACCTCCAAGATTTTCTTCAGAAAACCCCAAGTTCCCTGATCTCAGAGCACTTGATTTTTGGAGGGCTCAGCTATGGGTGGGTTCCAAGAAGTAGACCTCCAATTCAGACTAAGCTCATCCCACACTTAGTACCTCTGGCCACAATAAGTGGGGCATTGGCAGAATCAGTCAAATAAGGGTGAATCCTGGGACTTTTGCTGGAATTAATAGGAACTCTTT